TGTCATTCATACACTGAAGCACACACACACACACACACACACACACACACACACACACACACACACCCAAAGGACAGAATTTACAGTATGTCTTAATTATGTACATATCAGCCTCCAACAAATCAGGTCCTTTGACAGTCCTACATTAAGAAGTTATTAACTGTTTACTCAGTGGCGTGAATTAATCATGTCGTGGTTTGCATTTTCACTAGGGTGTTTTTTTAATTTTTTTTACATGATTGATGATAAGGTACCTTTTCTTGTAGAGAATGTGTTTTTCGAAATCAGAAAAACAGATGTGATAAATGACAGGTTTAACCCGTTTGTGACATGTCATCTTGGATAAATAAGGATAACATGTGGCAACTCTCCTTCACTGTAAACTTACTGTCATCCCTATGGCAACTACTTCATGATGGAAATATATTGCTTCCTTACCTTGTTGTTAGCCACAGGTAAAAAGCTCAGATGATTACCAGGATCAGGCAGAGGCAAAACAAACCATATTTGTATTAAAATATATTTACTGAATCCCTTCCTTTTTTTAATATCTTCGGCTTTTACCCTTTGCTCATAACATCTTGATACAGTATAGCTCATGAACACACGCCTTATTTGTTCTGTCTATGCTTTGCACATCGCTTATTTTTATGAAGGGACAGATGACATAAAGGTGGAGATCCATTCCTCCTCTGCTTTCTAATAAAGCTTCAGGCAATACAATTGTGAATACATGACATTGAATATATGCATTTTTTAAGGCCCCGCTACTTCGATTTTAAAGTCAGGGGTTGCATCGTGCAGCACTCTAAGGTCTAATACTATTTCACATTATTATTACTATTCATTTCTCATCAGCTTGACATTGTTTGATACAAGTGGTGTATATTCACACGGCACAAAAGATTATTGATCTCCTTTCATTTTGTCATAGCCGGTTTGTATATTTAACATAAGCTTAACCTGCAGTTGAATTGTCACATTGATCCACACACAGTCTATACTGACCAGAGGAGCAGAGGCCAAAGCCATCAATACTAAAGAGGATCCCTGCTGACTTTGGCAAAAGCTAATTATGCCTACATTCTTAAAGTCCAATTAGAAAACTGGCTTTCTTTTTTTGTTGCTGCAATGCACAGTTCATACCCAAACCACGGTCTGCGATCTGCATCTCCAAAAGATGTTGTAGGTGAGCCTGATGATATTAATGTGCCATGTTTCAGGATAATGCAAACACCTTGTAATTTGGTTAGTGTGTGGAGTAGTGTAAATATTGAAGCTTCTGCAATGCACCTATGGTAACTATTAGATTTATTAGATTTTGGAGTCCTTATAGTTCTTATATACAAAATGCCAAACATGAAGGTTTAAATCATCACATTTAAAGAAAAAAAACTCAATTTATTTGATTATCTTAAGGTTGTTAAAGGTGAACACATTAACACTTCCTTGGCTGTCAAAGTGTGCAAAGATTAAAACAGTAAAAAAACGAGATTTCATCCATAACATCATATGAGTTATCTTTATCTATTAGCACTATCTCATTTTCAGATCTGGAACCTATAGCAGTATACTGTGGCTGATTTAAGGTTCAGGGATCTGATTGCCTCGGGCAAGTTATTCTAAGAGCCCCCTGATGTCAGTGGGACTGTCTGGCAGAATAAAAGGCAAGGCAATAAACTGGGGGAAAAAGTAGCACACACGCATTGAAATCGGGACCTCCCCGAGGCGATGGCCCAACTGGCCCGTGGTTAAATCCTCCACTGAAAGTGTAATAATCACACCAGAGCCCCACAGAGGGAAGGGAAGAGAAAGAGTGGGGGGAGACACAGAGGTACCAAAACAAAAGCCACCCCTCTCCATCCTGTTCTCTTTGTGCCTTCTATCTAAAGGGAAAAAAGACAGACATTTTTTGGCACTAAGAAAGGGAATTATAGCGGCTGTGATGATGACTGATGGGAAAGTGGAACAAGATCTGAAACAGATCACAAGGGTTTATTGTAGCTGTGGCAGTCATTCTGATGTGTTTGCAGATATAAGACTTAGACTTGTCCTCTAATCCTGTCCAAAGGCTGGCTCGCCCTGGCTGCAGATAAATGGTTAATAATACTTTGAGTACCCTAAGCAAGGGGCTTTGCACTTGTAAGATTACTTAACACACATTTGTGGACAAGCAGAACTTTTAAGTGATGGTTGTATTATATTGTCTGCATGTTTTCCTTGGCTATGGTGAATATATTTGTCCCTCAAAAGGACAAAAAAAACAACATTTGTTTGGACAGTAATATTAAACCCTCCCAATACACTCCTCTTGAAAGCTTCTCAATGATTTCCCCTTTAAGAGTGCCCAGCAGGAACTCCCACTATAAATCTCATTTAGTACCTCTGACATGTTAGAGGATGTGATATAGCTGCCAGTGCTCTAATTACCATGCTCTGCATGCCTTGTCGTTGGCCTCCTTTCTCATATTTAAGACATTTGCCCAAGTTGAGTTTGTCTTTGTGTTTATTTCAGATCTATGTCCGTCTTTAGAATTGCACAAATGAGGGGCATGTGAAACAAAACATAGTGTCATGTATTGTTTTTAAAAACATAAATCAAGAGAATGTTTTTTTTATCCTGAAACTCAGCTTGAGCCTTAGCTCTTTTGTTCTCGCTGGTAATTGTGGGAGGTTGAATGGGCATGCTAATGATGACAGGAAAGGTCAAACTAATTAGCGCTGCCTTTGAACTTGGCATTCAAAGTTCCTAATATTTCCATGCAGTCTTGACAGAGTTCAAATTAATCAAGGCTTGTCCTATATGCAGCAAAAATATCAATTTTTGAAAGGAGTATTCTATTTGTACAGGGTTTGTTAACAAGATATTCACAAATGGGCCTGTTTATCAAGTGGAAAGAGAACACGTTGTGCACCATTAAACCTGCACAATGCCTTAATCGTCTTTGTTTAGATATGTTAAATAAAGCATATCATTATGCTCTACTGGGTGCTAAGTGGTGTTTAAAGGTCCATAAATTCAATTAGACCACGTTTAATGCTGCCCTTAGACCATGTTAGTGCAGTGACGCACGTGATCCAGGGGAGGGTTGCGTCAGCCATTTTTAAGAATTATTACTTAGGATTTACATTTATATTGTCATTTTAATAGTACGGCCCTCTTCAACCAATAGGGGCCTCAGATGCTTCCAGGGGCCCCGACTCTTTCCCCCCCCTCCCTCCGGACGGCATCGCATTTGTCATTATACATACGGAGGGAAAAAATCTCTCTTCAGTCTCAGTTTGTCATTAGAGCAGTCCTGTTAGCCTGGTGCTAATGCACAGTTTAGCAGCCACCGCAGAAAATGCTAAAGAGGTCCTGACAACTCCTGGGGGTCGGCTAAGTGTGGGCCAAGGGTTTCTGTGTGCGAGTGCGCACTTTGAAGGGGGGTAGTAAGGGGTCCCAGTGGTTGTTTGCCTGTTTTCCATCAAGAGCCCTCATCTCCTTTATCCCCTTTGTGGCGGAGGCCCTCCTCGGGCAGTTCCCTCTGAGGGGGATCTAAAAAGAGCAGCTGCTGGGGAATGAGTGCCATTTCCTCCTGCTGTCACCAGCACACTGGCAACCCTTAGTCCCCCTGTCCCCCTCCACCCACAAACCCCCTATTAATATGCATATGAACTTGTTTCTCTTAGTTCTGAACTCCAGTGACAAAGTGGGAAAGCATATGCCTGAAATATTCATGACCGCACGCAGTAATTAAGCGGTGGATAAGGGAACTCTAGCAGGGAGAGTCCCTACCCCTCTGCTGCTTCTCCAGCACTGAAAAGCATGTTGTCTTCTGCTTTCTCAGTTATTCTTCGAAGCCTTTTCCTCGTTGTGTGTGCTGTTGTGCAGCACGGAGACATTTACCATGTGGAGTTAATGAGGCTTAAAAGACGTGCTGTTTTGTTTAGTGTGTTAACTCTAGTTAAGTGCTAGAGAGAAACCAGAGTTCTCCACCCACTCCAATCATTAATTACCACTACTGTTTGTCCATGCAAACACTAAAACCTTTGAGATTCGTAAATAATATTACTGAATATCTTAGCCCACATTATTTAAAAACGTGTAAGCTGTGAAAGCAACCTGCTGAGAAACATACTACACTTAGATTGAGATAAGAATATTTTCATTATAGGAAATTATTGAAAGTACTCTAGGCTGAAACTCATCACGTATAACTTTGATCTTATCCTATTAGAAATGAACAGGAATACAAAATGTGAAGTAATTTGTATTGCTAGCAATTTCCCACAATGTTCTCTATTAACCCATCATGACATCTTATTCATATCAATCCAACCAATATAGGGCTGAGCTCAATAATCAGTAAATA